GGAGATAACAGCCCGAGCGTCCCAGATCGAAGGGGGGAAAACAACCACCTGACCCCAGATAACGATCCCCCTGGAGAGGGAGGATCCCGAAACTCATGGAGCGGAGATAACGATTCGGGCGTCCCAGGCTGAGAGAGAGAGAGCTGACCGGGGTGTGTGTGCGGGGAAGGGGGGGGAAGGCCTTGGAGAGCGATGCGGAGCCAGGAGAGAGCACCGAAAAGCGGAGCTAAGGCAAAAGAGAGCACTCTTCCGGGTGTTCTTGCCTATATACTGGGCATGACGTGCATGATATGGAATAAAACATCGGTCAGTCTGGTTCTCAATCTTAACCTAAGAGCAAATCCCAGCTAGCAAGCGGCTATGCCTCTTTGCTCGTCTGCTGACCTTGGCAGCAGAACAAAACATTATTCCCTTATCAGCTCTTCTGAGCGTAAATCCAAAACACAGCCTCTTGCTAGCTATTTATGAAGAAAAGGGAGAAAAAAGAAAACTAACAGTTAAACTTTAAGCAGTCTTTAACCCACGACACTACCTTATATAGAAAGAATGTGCAGTTTTGAAATATCATTGTTTGTTCAGTTTTGTGTATGAATATAACTTATTTCTAAACCCACTTTAGTGATTTATTGATACTATGATTGAAGACTTCTTGCCAGCTTATAGATAAACTGTCTTTTACATGCCACATTATTAAGGATGAATTAATTGGTGGTGTAATCAGTAGTCTTATCTCTATAGTAAATTTCAAATGCTATTAAAAAAAAATTCTTTAGGTCATAACAGTTTTCTGGCAGTTTTGCTAAACTGCCTCTGTGCAGATCTCTTCAACTTTGTTTCATAGGTTGTTTGTGTTCTGTGAAAAAAACAGCAACCAACCACTAAACAAAACAAACCCTCAACTGATTCCCAAATTAAATTGCATGTATAGTGAATTGTCTTGCTGGCAGAAAAAATCACTATAGTTAATGCATTCATATATCACTTAATTCAGCATAAAGGCCTGCTCACTTCAATAAAGGAGAGGAGCAGAATGTGGGTTTGAGTTTGAGCCAGTAGTAATGGACATACTGCTTTATCCTTCATTTGCAGAGAATGGCTAAAGGAAGTGTAATGTAAGTTGTAATATGATGATCTGTTTACGGATTTCTACCTAATTCCTTAGTAGCTTTTTCATGTGAAGAAGATGATCATGTTCAGTTTATAATGATACAATTTTTGTTTATCTCTGGATTCCCTGTTAGGCAACTGTTCTGCTGTAAAAACCAATGTGGTAGTGGTGGAAATGTTCAAACAGAACTTCGTACTCCAAAGAGGCTTTGAACTGAGAATAATTTGGTTTGGTGTACAGTTTTTGGGTGCAATTCTTTTCACCTGTGGGAGGAAGAAAGGAGTAGGTGGCTATGGTAATAAATAATCATATGTGGTCAAATTCAATTTTTTCAAACTTATTTATATCAGTGATGCATAAGACTGAGCAAATAACAGTAATTGAAAGGAACAATTAAATACCAGCAGCCTTTTGATCTTATTCTAGAGTAGTTCATGTACAACTTGGGTTTAAGAGATTGATCACAGTGAAGAAGATTTGTTTCAGAATGAGCGTGGCCAGATATTCTCTGTGGAACAGATTTGCTGGCGTTTGTCTTGTGGTCTGTCCTGCTGGCATGGTTTGCTTACAGGTAAATCTGGGTTCTGTGTGTTTTTTCTATTTAAAGCCGTATTGGCCATGCTAATATTTTTTTCTTTCCTTTTTTTTTTTTTAATAGGTAACACTTAAAGGATTTAGTCCTTTGCTTCAGTTTGCATACACAGCTAAACTTATTTTAGATAAAGACAATGTGTCTGAAGTTTGCAAGTGTGCTGAATTTTTGGGTGTACACAACATTGAAGAGTCTTGCTTTCAGTTTCTCAAGTTCAAATTTTTGGACTTTAAATCGGATCAATCCTAGGAAGAAGTGTTGTACACAGCGTTATCGGAAAACAAACCCTAAAACTGGCAACGGGGCTGATGGAGACCTAGAAATAGATGATGAAGCAGAAGAACTTTTAGAGAAGGAATATATGCAAAGTCCTGACACAAAACTCTCTAAGGATGAAGAAAATGCTAACTCATCGCCAGCTCTCCAAGATAACGCCAGTCAAACATGTGATCCTGTACATTTGGAAAGGGGTAGTGTTTCCGGCTTATCTTCCCAATGCCCAAAGTATAGGAAATTCCAGAAAGCTTTTGGAAGTGACAAAGTTCATACTTCAGAGTCCAGTTCTAGTATTAAAGACATTCAGATGCCACCAATTGCAACTTTTCTTGAGAAGGAAGTATCTGATAATAATGGGATACAAAAAGCTCAGGAGTGTGTACCTATGCAGCTGGTCTCAAAATGTGAAGAGGCTCAGGTAAAAATGGAAGAAGGGGAGGAAGACACTGAGAAAAAGGAAGAGTCAAAGAGAGATTCTGTGACTCAGAATGTTTTGTGCCCTGTGGAGAAAATGGATCTTGTTGCTTTCCCCCAAAACTCTGCTGCACCTCATGGACTCAATTCTGTTTCTTTTTTACATACCTGTGAGCAATATGGTAACTTGAATTTCAGTAGTATGCAAAACAGCACAGTCTTAGCTGAAAAAACTGTATCAGGTACAGGAAGTGGGAATGACAAAGTTGAAAGTCAAGGTGACACATCTTCGAAGGTTGATTTGGACACTAGGGAAGCCACTAACATTACAGCAGCTGGTGATCGAAGCAGTGTGGAGAGAGAGGTAGCAGAACATCTAGCAAAAGGGTTCTGGAGTGATATTTATAGCACAGAAGCCTGTCAAATACATTTACCCCCTGCAGTTCCAAAAGAGTGCATGGAGCCAATGTATTCAGGGAAGAAATCGGAGTGTCCATGGCTGGGTATCAGGATCAGTGAAAGCCCTGAACCTTGCTCTCAACGAACTTTTACAACATTGAGTTCTGTCAACTGCCCCTTTATAAGCAATCTTAGTACTGAAGGATGCTCCAACAGCTCTGAAATAAGCAGTGGAGATTATGTCCAGGGACAGCAACAAGAACAGTGTCCCTATAATTATGTGATAAGTCTGGGAGAGGATTCAGAAACTGACACTGAGGGAGACAGCGAATCCTGTTCAGCAAGAGAACAAGAATGTGAGGTAAGAACGTCCTGGTGTATCTTTTATCTCCCTGTCTCTTAAGGCACCATTTGAAAACCTCATCCTGAATTTCGGGGGGTTTTTTTGTGGTTGGTTGTTTTAAAAATCTGTGAAATTAAACTTCAACCATTCAAAGGTTTACATGGAAGATTACTGTTAGTTCAGGGAGACTTATAAAGTATTTTTTTTTAGTAGGATATTGAAGTGGTAGGTGCTCAGGTACTAGATCTCTTGAGATATTTTTCTGGAACAATTTTATCAGAAAAAGTTGTGAGTCTTAAACCAAGGCATAGGAGTTCCTTTTAGATTTTTTTTTTGTCTACTTCAGTTAAACTTAAGAAAACTAAACTTACTGGAACTTTTTTTTTATAGACACTTAAAAGTTTTCTTGGTTTTATTCTGAGTTGTGGGGAGAACGTGGGAGAGAAATTATATTTCAGAATTACTCTGAAATGAAAATTTTCAAGCTGACTTCATTAGCTGTATATTTAAGAGTGCTTTAATAGTATCACCTTCTCAAAAACTGAGGTTATATTTGTTCCTCCAACTGCAAAAATTATTTGGCACTTCTTTCCTTTGTCATTGCTTTGGTAGCGTTTTAGGCAGATGCCATACATAAGTAGTCTAATCCCAAAAGATTTTACTATATACATAGAATGATTTCTGTCACAGTTCTTAGAATTGTAGAATTGTGGTGCAGCTCTTGTGTATGATGGATCATTTAATGTAATGAAAATTCAGTTGCTTTTAAAGCACTAGGTTTTCTTCTGCTCAAGATGCAGCACCTTACTGAGACTTAAAAAAATCAGTGGAAGCTACCTACCATCAATATAGAAAGTTGTCAGGCCAAACAAAGGGTCAGAATTGGTTAAATACATTCTTCATCTTTACGTGACAAGGAAGTAGATGGTGTCATTGCTGAGGGCGATACTCTGTCCTCTTTTTTGCCTGTTTGTTGTCAGTGGTGGCCAGACACACAAAAGGGTTTTTCTCTTTGCTGTTGAAACTAAATTCATATCTTTGACCACATCAAGGTAACGTATTTTCCTACTTAATATACTCAAGTGTCTTTAGTTGGGTATTTAACAAAATGTGGCAATTATTTTGTGTCTTTACCTTTAAAGATGTTTTTCAGTTTTGATCAGGACTTTGTGATCTATGTGTGTTTCAGAAGCTCCTGCTTCTGTAGCTCAGGTGTACAGACAGTAGCAAGGTCCTGGCTCTCTTCTCCAGCATTAAGTATTACAAGACAAATATTGTAACTTCTATATTTTAAGTAAATGCCTGTTTCAGGTGAACTTTTCCTGCAGAAAACTATAGGTGTAAGAAAGTGTGCAGGTTAACAGTCTTAATAGTGGCTTAGGGGAAACTTCAGACTGTTAGTGATTCTTGACACCTGCTTTGTACACCACCTAACTATAACTTATTTTCCTAGAGTGTATCACCTAATTGATTTGCTGCATGCATGGGTAGATTTCATCCTATTCTGAGTATTTCTCCCCTGTGCTTGAACTCATCTAGTTGAAACCCCTGGGTTTTATCCACCTCACCTGATGGCTACATTAGCTTGCTCTTGTTTCTGAGATTTAGGAAGAAAGATGGATGGTGTGGTAAAGAATGCTTAAAATGAAAGCTTGAATTGACCTGTTGGTGTTTGTGTATATCGGTTTCACGTGTGATTTACCACTGTATCTTACATTCTAGGTAAAACTGCCATTTAATGCACAAAGGATTATCTCACTTTCCAGAAATGACTTCCAGTCATTTCTGAAAATGCATAAATTAACTCCTGAACAATTGGACTGTATTCATGATATCCGAAGACGAAGTAAAAATAGAATTGCAGCACAGCGATGTCGTAAGAGAAAACTTGACTGCATACAAAATCTTGAATCTGAAATTGAAAAACTGGTATGTATAAATATGCATTACTGTTGACTTGTGTCTTTTTCTAAACGTCTTGACTGGACATCTGGCAGTAGTTTGAAGTGGCTTGCTATTTTTTCCACTCAAGCTCAGAAAACTTTATCAGTCTTAAATGACTTCTTGATAGCAGTTCTAGATTTTCTGTGCTTCACTCTAAAGTACACACATTTTTCCTTCTGTAAACTTGTTTCCATTCAAGTAAAAGTGCATCACAGCATAATTTTAGATGAATGGTGTTTCTGAAGCCCATCAGCTTTAAGCATAATTGTACAGAATGTTTCCCAAACCATCATCCCACTCTACTTTGTTTTCTGTCTCTTTAAACCTGCTTTGTGCTTTTATTCTTCAGCTTGTGGTATTGCTCGTGATTGAGTTTACTGTTATGCAGTTGTTAATTGTGAAGTATTGTTCGTGTAACATATCAGTGTGGGCTGGTGAACTGTTTCCTGAGTCTTGAATCTTAGAAATGAGGCCCTTGCAGAAAGGCAGAAGATACAGCAGAACTCAGGAAGCTGCTTGCCTTTTTAGCAGTTGTATCAAGACTGTAGCTGAGGAATTAGTGCACCCAGATTTCTCTACAACCATCTGTTTATGTATTTTCTCCATCTTAAAAGGCAATAAAAAGATAAATGTTTAACTTAAGAGAAATGTGGATAATCTGAAGTTCTCCTGACAAGAAAATAGTTGTGAATGGCTTTTTTCTTGTCCTTGTTTCTGACCTTCTCATCTCAGTTACATAGTTGATCGTACCATGTGCACTAAATAGTTCAGTTGTTCAGGGTTACTGTACTCTTAATTCTTGTTTATGGAGTGTTTTAGCCTTTGTGTTTATGTACGTGAAATTGGCCTCTGCGTCAGCTAGGAACATAGGCAGTTACGTTGCACCTTTCTCCTTGTGACTTCAGAGTGAAAAGGAAGATAAAATTAGAACAAAGTGCCATGGACTAGAAACTCCTATCTTTAGCACATGTAAGACTGAATCTTTTGCCCAGTTTTGACCTCTCCCACTGCCAGAAGTGCATTGAGAAATGGGAGCAAGGTTTGGAGAAGGCCACCAGCCACCAGGGGTGAGAGGCAGAGGAAACAGGGCTTCTGCTTGGAGAAAAGATGGCCATGGGAAGCCTAACAGCCACCTGCCCATATCTATGGGGAAGTCCCCAAGGTCATGTAGGCATTGGGAGTGGAAGGTCTCGTGTTTGCCGGAAGGTAGTACTTCATAGCAGGAGAACAAGAGACATTGTAATGAATTAAAATGGGAGGTTTCAACTGAATGTAAGGAAACACTTTTTTCCAGTGGGGACAGGAGGCAGGCAATGAAGCAGGTTACCCAGAGAGGTTGTGCATGCTCTGTCCTTGAAGGTTTTTGTGAGATGACTGAGCACAGCCCTGAGCAGTGTGATCTTTACAGATATCCCAAGGTATCTCCTGCCCAAGTGATTCTGTAAAATTTGAAGTCTTATGTTAAGCTCTACTTACGTTGAGGATAAATGCTGTTTGGTACTGAATCTGTTATCTGGAAGAAATAAGTTTGGTTGTTTTTCTTGGTCTTCCGTACTGATAATGTAATTTTTGACCCCCATATAGTCTTTGTTTATTGATCTTTCAGGTGAACATATGTGTTCTTGCTGTTCACTAATGTTCCATATTTGAGAATACATGTGGGCCATTCAAGGAGATGTTGGTTTGTTAGAAAAAACTCTTTCAGAGCGCCTGTGTATATTCACATTCCTACTTTCTCGCATCAAAGCTTTAAAATGAGGATACTTGTGAGGGGGACCACAGTAAAAGACAACTGGCTTCAAGAAGCACTACTTCCCTGAAGATCCTGTAGCTCAGGAGGAGGGTGTGTCAGTGAGTGACATGCTATAAGCTGTGATCCAAGAAATGTAATTGAGAGCTTATTATATATGCTATAGCAGGGAGAGGAATTGTGTGAACTAAACAGATTCTTCACCAGAAGAATTGAGAGCTCTGTTTGATGATGATTATGACCTCAAAACTAGGTGGGGCAGGGACATGTGGTATTATAGTGGGGGTCTGCTACAGGCCACTGGCCCAGGAAGAGTGAGCAGATGAGACCCTCTATAGGCAGATAGGAACAGCCTCGTATTCACAAGAGCTGGTCCTCATGGGGATATTTGTTGGAGAGACAACACAGCAGGGCATAAGCAATCCAGGAGGTTTCTGGAGTGTGTTGGTGATAACTTCCTCCTCCAAGTGACAGTGGAGCCAATGAGGAGGAGGTGCTGTGTTGGACCTTGTTCTCACCAACAAGGAAGGGCTGGTGGGGAATGTGAAACTCAAGGGAAGTCTTGGCTGTAGTGACCATGAAATGCTGGAGTTCAAGATCTTTAGGGCAGTGATGAGGCTGCATGGCAAACTCACTGGCCTGGACTTCAGGAGAGCAGACTTTGACCTCTTCAGGAGTCTGCTCAGTGGAGTACCATGGGACAAAGCCCTGGAGGGAAGGGGGGCCCATGAAAGCTGGTTAGCATTCAAGAATCACCTTCTCCAGGCTGAGGAATGATGCATCCCAACAAAGGCAAAGTCAAGTAAAAATGCCAGGAGGCCTGTATGGATGAACAAGGAACTCCTGGACAAACTTAAACTCGAAAAAGAAGCCTACAGAGGGTGGAAGCAGGTATCCTGAGACAAATACAGAGAAATAGTTTGAGCAACTAGGGATAAGGTTAGGAAAGCTAAAGCCCTCATAGAATTAAATCTGGCCAGGGATGTGAAAGGCAACAAGAAATGCTTCTGTAGGTATGTCGGGGATAACAGGAAGACAAGGGAAAATGTGGGCCCTATCAAGATGGAAACGGGAGACCTGGTTACCCAGGATATGGAGGAGGCTGAGGTACTCAGTGACTTTTTTGCCTCAATCTTCACTGGAAAGGGCTCAAGCTGCACTGCCCAAATCACAGAAGGCAAAGGCAGGGACTGGGAGAATGGAGAACTCCTCACTGTAGAAGATCAGGTGCAAGACCACCTAAAGAACCTGAAGGTGCACAAGTCCATGGGACCTGATTAGATGCATCCTCAGGTGCTGAGGGACCTGGCAGATATAGTGGTTTAGCAACTATCCATCATATTTGAGAAGTCTTGGCAAAAATCCTGCTGACTGGAAAAGGGGAAATATAACCCCCATTTTTAAAAAAGGAAAAAAGGAAGTTCTGGGGAACTACAGACCAGTCAGTCTCACCTTTGTACCCAGCAAGATCATGGAGCAGATCCTCCTAGAGATTCTGCTGAGGCGCATGGAAAATAAGGAGGTGATTGGTGACAGCCACCTTCACCAAGGCAAAATCATGCTTGAGAAATTTAGTGGTCGTCTATGATGGGGCAACAGCATTGGTGGACAAGGGAAGAGCAACTGACGTCATCTACCTGGACCCATGCAAAGCATTAGACACTTTCCTACGTGACATTCTTGTCTCTAAATTGGAGAGACATGGATTTGACGGTTGGACCACATGGGGGATAAGGAATTGGCTGGGTGATTGCACCCAAAGAGTTGTGGTCAACAGCTCAATGTCCAAATGGAGACTGGTGACGAGTGGCATTCCTCAAGGGTCAGTATTGGGACCAGTGTTGTTCAACATCTTTGTTGGAGACATGGACAGTGGGATTAAGTGCATCCTCAGCAAGTTGGCCGACAACACTGAGCTGTGTGGTGCAGCCAACACACTGGAGGGAAGGGATGGCATCCAGGGGGACCTTGACAGGCTTGAGAGGTGGGCCTGCGCAAACCTCATGAAGATCAACAAGGCCAAGTGCAAGGTCCTGCACATGGGTCAGGGCAATCCCAAGCACAAATACAGGCTGGGAGGAGAATGGATTGAGAGCAGCCCTGAAGAAAAGGGCTTGGGGGTGCTAGTTGATGAGAAATTGAACATGAGCCAGCAGTGTGCACTTGCAGCCCAGAAAGACAACTGTGTCCTGGGCTGCATCAAAAGAAGTGTGACCAGCAGGTTGAAGGAGGTGATTCTCCCCCTCTACTGTGCTCTGATGAGACCCCACGTGGAGCACTGCATCCAGCTCTGGAGTCCT